ATGTCCATTTGCTACCGCACACTATTCACAGTGATTATCTCAAAATGGATCTTAGAACTAAATGTCAGCGCCAATCTGTAACATTCTTAAAACACAGGAGTAATTCTTGTTCCTTTTCTTTTTTTCCAGTGCTGTGGATTGAACCCAGGTCTTCCTACACTGTACATTCCAGCCTGGGGGTGATTCTAAATGACCATGGGTTAGGCTAATTAATGGTTTCTTAGATTCAACATCAAAAAACAAATGATAAAAGAAAAATCAGATTAATTGCACTTCATCTAAATTGAGAAAAAAAAAAAACTTTTGTGCTTCAGAGGTATCTTTGGGAAAGTCAAAAGACTACCTGTAGCCAGGCGTGGTGGTACACGCCTGTAATCCCAGCACTTGGGAGGCTGAGGCAGGAGGATCACTATGAGTTCGAGACCAGCCTGGGCTACATAGTGAGTTGCAAGTCAGTATCAACTACATAGTGAGACCCTGTCTCAAAAAAACCAAAACAAACAAACAAAAGGACTACCTGTAGAAGGAGAGACAAAATTTATAATCATATATTTGATGAGGGGCTTACCCACAATGTATGAAGAACTACTATCACTCACAATAAAGACAGATACCTCAGTTTAAAAAAAAATGGTTAAGGATCTGACTCGATATTCCTCCAAAGAAGATATGTAAAGCGCCGAGAAGCACATGGAAGTACATTCAACATTGCTAATTCATTAGGGAGAGTAAGATGATACCTGTACTAAGATACACTTCAGAGGACCAGGGATGTAGCTCGGTGGTTCCGCTGTCTGCCTCGCAAGTGCAAGGTCCTGAGTTCGATCCCCGGTACCACAAAAATAAATAAATAAAATGTGAAAAAAGTCAATTCTACTGGTCAAAATAGCTGACTACTGAGAAAGGGATATTTAATAAAAAGGCGGGGGGGGCTGGGGACTTAGCTCAGTGGTTTTGCCACCTGCCTCACAAGTGCAAGGTCCCAAGTTCGAGCCCTGGTACCAAAAAAAAAAAAAAAAA